TTCCTCAGGCTGGCCAAGGGTGGGGATGGGGCAGGGTCCGGGTGGGTAGATCCTCTTTGCCATTGTCATTACCGCCCTGGAGCCCGGCCTGGGGTTGTTTTGCTCTTGGGCAGCTGTGTTGTCAGGCTCTGCAGGCCCACAATTCCCGCTACTCTATTATTTACAGTAAAAACAATAATATTGCACCAGTAAAAGGCTTAAAAAAAAAGCCCTCTGAATCACCATCCTAGCTCAACAGCTGCCTTAAATTTTCTGTCTTGTTCCAGTCTCCTTCCATATGTCTTCAGTGCGCATTTTCATATGCTTGCCATTGGGATGGAGCGAGCGCTCAGGATTCTGCTTCGGTTTGCTCGGTGCTGGTCCGTGTGCGACACTGTTTGTAATTATGTTATTGCCAGCAGACATCCACTGTGTCCCCAGATTGCTGGGTTGTTTGTCTCTATATCCTTATTATTGTAATACGACATCGAAAAATTAAATGCTTACTGTTCCTTTTATTCTCCTGAATCGTATTCTTTAGGGTAAACAGTCAGGAGTGATTAGAAGAAGGGCTTGGACGTGTTATTGCTTTGCGGCATGCTTCCGCTAATTCATGTTGCTACAGAAGTCTCGCTTTGGCGCACGTGTTTCTTTATTGATTACTATTAGCTAGGTGTTCTGGTTTACCAGGTCCCATGAGATGCTTATCGTTCCCTTTTTCTTATGTTTATTTTGAGGCATGATCTCATATAGCCCAAGCCAACCCCTAATAACTATGTAGCCGAGGATAACCTTGACCTTGACGTCTTGGTCCTCTAGCCCACAGGTCCTTGGAACTCCTTGGGGGGTTGGATGGCCCTTTCATAGGGGTCACCTAAGACTATTAGAAAATACAGACATTCACATGACGATTCCTAGCAGTGGCAAAATGGCAGTTATGAAGTAGCACAACATGATGAACCGTATTAAAGGGGCACATCATTAAGAAGGTGGAGAACCACGGCTCTAGCTTCTACCTCCTAAGTGCTGGGGTCACAGGCCCGTTACTGGCTTATATTTGGTCTTTAAAGGAGCTGGTTTTGTTGTTTGTTTTGGGAGCAGGGTCTTATGTGCCTCAGGATGGCCTTGAACTTACTTGGTAGTTGAGGATGACCTAGAACTTCTGGTCCTCTGACCGATTCTCACCCAGTGCTGGGATAAGTCACAGGTTTAAAGTGAGCATTATTTCTTCCACTGACCTGAGTAATTCAGAAGGGTTAGGTAACTTTTCTGGAGTTGCAGAGGTAATGAGGAGTGGATGTAGGGTGTGAACTTAGATGCACTTGGCCCTGTTTGAAGCTCCTTCCATGGGACTGAGGCAGTTTCCTTGCTGGCATTACTACAGTCAACCCATGCTGGGTTAATTTAACAGAAGCCCCTTGTGTCCTCCTTTCCCAAGTGCCCTCCCCTCTGGTATCTGAGTGGCCTGTGGAATTCACTTGGACAGGGATTCTTGCTCCCCGAGCTCCTTCTTGCCAGTGTGTCTTAGAGAGTGCCCTATGGCAGGTAGTTTTTGGAAGTAGAGAGACTCTTGGAGTCACACCCTTCAGTCAGCATACTAGTCTTGGTCAACACGGTGTTTGAGCCCCAGATCTGCTTAGGATCGGAGAGAAGAGGCAAATGAGCCTTTCTTGGGCAGACCAGGGTCACCCAGCTACTAGAAAGGGAGATGGCCACCTAAGCTAGCATTTACCCTCCATGGCAGAGGCTGCTGTCTTGAGTCCTAAGCAGTGCTTTTAAGGAGCCTGAGTGGGTTGTTAGGACTCAGAAATCTGGATATTGAAATATAAAACTTCTGAATCTATAACTTTTTTGAAAACTGGGAAGGCGTGGAAATTCTGAGCCTAGGATCTTCCTTAGAAAGACTGATCACCAGGAGCCAGGCTTATGCTGCTGCTGCTGGTGGGACCCCCTGCAGTCTTGCTTACTGAAGTCTTAAGCTTCTGTCTAGCCAGTGTACCTTGAACTTGACCTGTCTTTCAAATCCCGCAGGAAGGCAAGGAAGCAAGTAACTGAAGGACAGGAAGAAAGGGGGGCAGTATTCCAGGCACAGGGTAGCGTGGGCAGAGCTGGTCTGAGACCCATTCTCACAAGAGGAAAGACAAGTGTGGCAAACTGGCTCCTGTAGATACCCTGGTACAGTGCACACACAGGCCAACCCAGAGCTGCAGAACAGAGACCAAGTCACACTGCTGAGCAAGATGGCAGGTAAGCGCGTGCGTGTGCGTGCGCACGCGCGCACACACACATACACACACACACACACACAGGTCTGTGGGTGACTTGGGAGTGTTGGCTTTTGGGGAGAAGGGGTAGGCTTTGTTAGCAGGTTATGAAATCTGAAACCTCTCTCTGTTGGCTGCATATAGGGCTGAAGACTTGCCTCTTGACTAGCCCATGGAAGAAATGAAAGCTGGGTGGGATCAGGAACTTGCTGTGCTCAGCTTCTAGGTTGACAATTGTCACCCGTGCACTCCTGTGTTGGGAGTGTGAACCGATGTTTCCAGATGTACCTTCTATAAGTGGGCTGCTGAGTAAATTGTCATGGATAGTGACCTCAGGGTCCTCCTTAACCTCCAAAAGGGTTACAGGGTCTTCTCAACTGCTCATAAAGGGGTCCTAAGGTCTCTGATGGGACTCTTGAAAGGAAGGCACCCACAGAACTATTGAGGCATGGATTCAAATGTCCCGGAATCAGGTAGCGAGGGATAAAGGATCCTTGGAAGCATTTTGGCTTCCTTCTTCTCAGAGGTTTGATTAAGATCACAGGCTGGCCAAGGCAGACAGAGGGATATGGGCTGAGCCCTGGGTCTCTCCTGGTTTCACTTTGGAAGAGGTGTGTGTGTGTGTGTGTTATGGTGTGTGTGTATGATATGGTATGTATGCATGGAGTCTGTGTGGAGTATGAGTGTGGGGTATGTGTGATGTGTTCATGTGGTATGTGGGTGTATGTTGTGTATGCGTTGTGTATGTGGTGTGTGTGCATGTGCCATGTGTGTGTATGTTTGTGTGTGGTATGTATGGTTATGTGTGTGTATGTTTGTATGTGGTGTGTATGGTTGTGTTTGTGTATTTCTGTGTGTGTCTGTGTGTGATATATGTGTGTAATGTATATGTGTGTTGTGTATGTGGTGTGTGTGTGTCTGTGTCTCTACGTGTGTGTGTGGTGTGTATGGTTGTGTGTAAGTTTCTGTGTGTGTGTGTGCATGTGTGTGTGAGCACACATACCATAGTACGTGCATGGAGGTCAGAGGGCAGTTTGCAGGAGACAGTAATTTACTCTTCCCACGTGTGTCTTAGGAACCATATCCAGGTCATTACCCTCAACTTGTGTGTTGAGATGGTCTCACAGTGCCCTAGAGCTCACCAGATAATCCAAACTGTCTGGCCATCTTGTCCCAGAGATCTGTCTGCCTCTGCCTCCTTGGTGCCGGATTACAAGCACACACCACCATATCCATTTTTATGTGAATTCTGGGAGTTGAACTCTGTCTTTGCCCTGCAAAGCAAGCATTTTACCTACTAAGCTATCTCTCTAGGCCCCCACTTTCTCTATTTACAAAATGGGGACATATTTTAGCCTATGGAGTCAGTAAGAGACTGTGTAGCATGGCCTGCCTGTCCCTCCTGTTGGAGCTGCTGTGTCTCTCTGTGGCATGTGTGTGACTCTTAGGTGAGTTCCTCCTGAGGACCAGGGCAGAGGCAGGTAAGAGTGTGGGTTCTGGTGCCGGCCTGCTTAGGTTTCAATCCTAGCTTCACCTCTGATTTTGTGAGTATGGCCTCCTCACCTAAGCCCCACGGCTCTGCCTTCTCATTGTATGGCAGGTCAATGGCGGCAGACCCCATCTCATTGTGGCTCAACAAAGATTAAATGAGATAAACCATTTTCAAGCCTCCTGAAAGATGCTGGGCCCTTCCAAATCCCCTACATATTAATTACAGTACTATCATTGCTGGCAGATTGCAGTTTCTCTGTGGCTTTGGCAGTCAGGGAACTTACCATCGAATCTGCACCTTACCCATAGAGCCCTACCTGGGGCTTAATGACAGGAATTTCCATTTCTGCTTTCCACACATCCTCTGTCATTGTGGTATTTGCCGTCCTAGCTCCCATCATCCTGGTTTGTATATATCACTGTAATTCTCTCTATATTACTATAAATGGTTTTACAATAAGTTTAGAATTAGTAAACGAAGACAATATAGCCACAGGTTGATTCTGATTGGCCTGGCCCAGTGTTGTTCAGAATGTTCTTGAACTAGGGGGCATATTGTGCTAATTATGGTATGCCTTTTCATTTTGAGACAGGTAGCCCAGGCTAACCTCCTAAGTGCTAGGATTATAGGCATGAGCCACTATGCTTGTAATAGCTAAAGGTTTTGTTTTACATTGATATCTATCTATCTATCTATCTATCTATCTATCTATCTATCTATCTATCTATTGTATGTGTGTGGTGGGGCTATACTGTGAATATTGAGGTCAAAGGACAACCCTATGAAGTTAGTTCTTTTCTTCTACCAAATGAGTCTCAGGAATTGTACTCAGGTCATTAGGCTTGGCTATGCATCTTTACCCACTGAGCCACCCCACCAGCCCAGTAGTTATTGTTTCTGAAGGGTTATGGTGTGTTAGCGTTTGCCACACCTGGTTCACATGTATTGCCATGACAGTCACAGTGTAGTCTAGCTATCTTCCCAGGGGGCCTTGCTTCTATGAGGGTGCTGGGGACCCAAATCTAGGTCCTACAGTTCAGGAAACTAAGGCTGAAAGAGGTGGAATCTGATTGCTGGCTGCAGGTGGTAGGGCCAGGATTCTCGAGTGTCACCTTACTCCAGAGCATACGGTATTAGCCTGCTCAGTTCTGAGGGTGTCTGGAGTTTCTGGGGGAGAGGAGGAGTGATTGCTGGCAGTTGACTGATGCTTTCTTCCTCTCCTTTTCACTTTCCTATTCCCTCAACCTTCTCCTTACTTCCTCCAGAGCCCACGAGGGCCCCCAAAGGCCTGGCTTTTGCTGAGATCCAGGCTCGCCAGCTGACCCTGCAGTGGGAGCCCCTGGGCTACAATGTCACGCGTTGTCATACCTATGCGGTGTCCCTTTGCTATCACTACACCCTGGGTGGCAGCCACAACCAGACCATCCGGGAGTGTGTGAAGATGGAGCAGGGTGCCAGCCGCTACACCATCAAGAATCTGCTGCCGTTCAGGAACGTCCACGTGCGTCTGATTCTCACCAACCCGGAGGGGCGCAAGGAGGGCAAGGAGGTCACCTTCCAGACAGATGAAGATGGTAAGCATGCCAGATGGATTCCCAGAGTTCTGCGCGCCTCCCAGACCCAGGGCCAATGCTCAGATTCATGGAGGGGATTCTAGCAAGGTAGTGGTGACCACGACTCATTCCTGGAGAGACTGTGGGTTCTTAGGTTAGTATGATTTCTTCTTTAAGGCTCTAGAAGAATTCAGCAGCTAATTTGGACCAGAAATTTTCCTCACCGCAAGGTTTTTAATAACAGTTTACACTTGTGAAATAGATTTGGATGTATTCAGTCACTTTCTGCCTTGGTTTTTTGTTTGTTTGTTTGTTTTTGAGACGGCCTGTCACTGAACCAGGACCTCACCAGCAGGCCAACTTGGCTGACCAGCAAGCTCCAGGGATCTGCCTCACTCTCCTGCCTGGCTTTCACGTGGTTGCTGGGGAACCAAATCTGGGTTCTCCTGTTTGCCTAGCAAGCACTTTACCAACGGAGACACCTCTCCAGCCCCACTTTTAGCTTTTTGAGACTTTATTCCGCCCCCGCCCCCATCCCTTTTTCTGACACGGTCTTGCTATGTAGTAGAGGCTGGCCTCAACCTCTAATCCTCTTGCTTCTGATTCCTTGGTGCTGAAATTGTTGGCCTGCGCTGCGTGCTTGGCTTGAGCCTAATTGCTAACGTGCAAATTGGAGGCTGTATGGTTTTCTTTATGCTCTGCTTAAGCTGCATCCTCCGGTCCGTGTGTGGAGCTTTATCCCGGACTTGTACATGATGAGCACGGTTCTGCACCACCGAGCTCTGTCCTCAGCCCACCCGTACGTTCTGTTTTCATTACGATTCGGTTTGAAACCTTTCCTAATTGCTGTAATAATTTCCTCTTTGACTCAAAAGTCATTTAGATTACTTTGATAATTACTAAAAGAAATTAGAATTAATTTCATTTTTCTTTATCTTTTTTTGGGGTGGGGAGGTGGGTGGATTTTTTTTTTTTAAATAAGGCAGTGTTTCTCTGTGTAGCCCTGGGTGTTCTGGAACTCACTCTGTAGACCAGTCTGGCCTCGAACTCAGAAATCCGCCTGCCTCTGCCTCCTGAGTGTGCTGGGATTAAAGGCGTGCACCACCACCACCTGCCCACTTTTGATATCTAAGCACTTAGAACTGGTGTGTATGTGTGTGTGTGTGTGTGTGTGTGTGTGTGTGTGTGTGATGTCTGTTTACTGGGGATTGATATTGCTATCTGGACCTTGTACATGCAAGGCATGCACTCTGCCACTGAGACACATCCCTGGTCCACCAAGGAGGGCTTCTAATGAATTATCTTTTTGTTATTGATTTCTGGCCTAATCCACTGTGGTCAGAGTAGGCATTCTACACATAGTCTTTTGAAATGTGACCCTTGCTTCATGGCCCAGCAAGTGGTTACATTTTGGTGGATGTGCCCTGTCGCTCAGCCTGTCGCTGTTGGGTACAGTGTTCTACATAAGTTGCACTGCCCGCCCTTAAGCACATGCTCCATGTCAGATGCCAGGGTGAGGGTTTCTACATATTAATGCATACGACCCCCATGACCACCCTGGGCGGCAGGCTGCTGTTTCTAGTACCATGGGACAGATGAGCTCACAAAGCGAGTCTGTGATTGGCAGGGTAGGCAGGGCTTTGTAAACCTGGCTCTAATGCCAGTTTTGATGTTTTGTTTTGGTTCTGGGAATTGAACCCATCACCTTGCACATGCTAAGGACATACTTTAACCACCAACTTTGCTCCCATCAGAATCACTTATTTTTAAGTTTTTGAGTGTGTGTGTGTGTGTGTGTGTGTGAGAGAGAGAGAGAGAGAGAGAGAGAGAGCGAGAGAGAGAGTTGTCGAGCAGGTTGTCCTTGAATTTATGTTGGTCTTTCTACTTCCCTTTCCATTTTGGTTTTTTTTTTTTTGGTTTTTTGAGGCAGGGTTTCTCTTTATAGTCCGGGCTGTCCTGGAACTCACTCTGTAGACCAGGCTGGCCTTGAACTCAGAAATCCGCCTGCCTCTGCCTCCCAAGTGCTGGGATTAAAGGCGTGTGCCACCACCGCCTGGCTCTCTACTTCCCTTTCCTAACTGTTGGGCTTATAGGTCTGTACCATCACACGCAGCCATTCCTGCCATTCCTAGCAGCTGCACTGTAAGGTCAGCGCATGTCCAAAGCCTTCTCTAAACTCCTGCAGATTCCCAGGAACCTGTAAGAGGGATTGGCTCAGAGGTTGTCTGGTTGCTCATGTGTGCAGTTTTCTGTTGTGTATGTAATATACATGCATACAGGTGCACACACACACTCTATTTATAGCAGTAGCCCATAGAGAACTCAGTCCACCTCATTGGATTTCCCTGGACCCCACTCACCTCCAGCGTCTGCATACCCACTGAAGGTTTTCTGGGGCAGGAGCAAGTAATGGCTGCGATTGCCTCACAGCTTTGCACAACCTGTAGTTAAACACCAGACGACTCAACTCTCATGATCTCTGCATGTCAGTTGGTCCCCAGAGCTACGGGCAGTCCACCTCATTCCATCATCCAGGGTGCTTATCTTAAGTCAGTCCAATAAATTCCCATAGCCTGGACACCTCAGGAAACTCACATCCAAAGGAAGAAATCATATCCCCACTCCCAACCCCCTGGAAGGCCACTCATGCTCCCTGCATTCACCACCTCCCAAGGGTAACCACTATCCTTCCAGATAACGCTATTTGAGAATTTCTTCTTGGTTCTGGCTTTGTGTAAGCAGAGTCATGCAGTAGACGTTTGCTTTGTGCCCACTTGTTTCTGTGAACTCTATGCTCTCAGGAGATCTGACTGTGACATGCACGGTCCTAGCAAATGCGTTCTCAGGACTATGTGGTTCATTCTACAAACCAGCCCTCCCTCTGTATCTACTTTCTGTTAACTGTTGGGAAGTATCCAGGTGGATTCCGATTTGGGGTTGCTTTGAGCAATACTTTGAAGAAAGTCTGGGTAGATTATTTTTGGTAGATATTCATTCGTTGTGTGGGTGTGTGTAGGAGAGAATGGCTAGGTTGCAAGGGCGTGTGTTCATCTTTAGTAGATTTTAGCTAGACAGTTTCCCAACCGTGCCAATTTATACTCCACCGGTGGTGAATGAAACTTTTGTGGTTCCGTGACCTTACTGACCTGAGAATTGTCTTTTCTTTCTTTTTTTCTTCTTCTTTTTTAAACAGTTTTGGTAGGTGGAGTATGATCTTGGGAAATTCTTGCTTTAACTGAATACTTAGCTCTCACTGTATGTTTGTGTGCTTGTTCACCTCTCTCTCTCTCTCTCTCTGAGAGTATGAGTGTATGTGAGTGTGTGAGTGTGTATATGAGTGTGTAGGCCAGATGCTGATGTTGGACAGCTTCCTCTATTGCTTTCTACCTTATTTCTCAAGGCAAGGCTGCACTGAGCCTGGATCCCCGTGTTTCTGTTTGGCTGGCTGGCCATCAAGTCCCGAGAAACCCACCTGTCTCTGCCCTCTAACCCCCAGTGCTGGGTTACAGATGCACACCAAGTGCCTGGCTTTTGCATGGGTGTTGGGGATTCAAACCCTGGTCCCCATACTTCACCCACTGGGCCGACTCTTCCATCCAGCTGTCATGGATTCTTATCCGTGGTTCCGCTGTCCCTGCTCGATGACCTCCACCCCTACCCCGCTTCCTCATAAAGATTTCTCAAAGTGTGTTCCTGGTCAGACGCTGCCTCTCCCTCCCTCTGCTGTGTTTGTTATTAAGAGTGTATATACTGCAGCCCAAACCAAGCTGACCCATGCCTCACAGCGCCCATATGGAAAATTTCATAGCACTCGTATAATGTGATTGTCGGTGCTGTTAAGTGTCTTCAGTCTCATTGAGATTGTTTATGTAATTAAGATCATTTTAGACAGGAAAACATCTCCACCCATGATCCCAACCCCCTACTGCAATTGTTTTCCTTTCTCTGGTAAATATCTACATTTCCTGAAAGCTACCAGCTGGAGCGGGAGCCTGCATGGAACCTGCTTGCCCTGAAAGATGGAGGAAAGCTTTGTTCCCCTGTGGAATAGGCCATGCCGGGTTTGGAACTTTGCATACCTCATATTATTTAGTTCTGATGAGAGGGAGACTATGTCATGCCCATTCATAGATGCAAAAACTGAGGTTCAGGGAGGCTAAACAGCCCAGCTAGAACAGTTAGGAAGAGGCAAGGCTGAAGCGTGAACCAAAGCCCGTTTTCCTCAGCCTCCACCCTTCCCTTCCAGTGCCTGGTGGGATTGCAGCTGAGTCCCTAACCTTCACTCCACTGGAGGACATGATCTTTCTCAAGTGGGAGGAACCCCAGGAACCCAACGGCCTCATCACTCAGTATGAGGTGAACAGGGGCCCTGGTGGGAGGTGGGAAGTGGGAGGTCAGAATTCCTTCCTGTGCTGTGATAGAGAGAGAGGTGTGTGGGAAGACAGAGGTGGGTCTCAAAGCCACTTCCATGATGGTCCTGTGAATTCTGAGCCAGGTAGCGGGCAGGTCAGGTGCATCTTTAGTTTCTGTGGAATGAGGGTGGGGTTCCTGGAGAGTAACATCCATCCCCGTCCTGTGCCACCTACTTGCTCCTCTTACCCCCAGATCAGCTACCAAAGCATTGAGTCCTCAGACCCAGCAGTGAACGTGCCTGGCCCGAGACGCACCATCTCTAAACTCCGAAATGAGACCTACCATGTCTTCTCCAACCTGCACCCCGGCACCACGTATCTATTCTCCGTGCGTGCTCGCACAAGCAAGGGCTTTGGCCAGGCAGCTCTCACCGAGATAACCACCAACATCTCAGGTGAGCTTCCTTGGGAGGGGGTCCAGGATGGCAGGGATGCAAGGATATGGAGGGGCAGAGCAGCCTAGAGTGGGTACAGAGGACCTTGGTAAGGTAAACGAGCCATTTAAAGGCTGAAGTAAGGAGTCAGGAGAATATAGTAGGTGAATCAGAGTTGAGGTCAGAAGCTGGAGGTCAGAGGTCAGTGCCTAAGATCAGGGGCCAGGAAAGCTTAGATCAAGGGAACATGATGTTAAGTCTTGGGGGGTGGAGGTCTGGTCTTCCTGGCCCAGTGGCCAGGCTCCATGCTTGTGTCTCTGTCTCTTCTCAGCTCCCAGCTTTGATTATGCTGACATTCCATCACCCCTGGGCGAGTCTGAGAACACCATCACTGTGCTGTTGAGGCCGGCTCAGGGCCGTGGAGCCCCCATCAGGTGGGGAAGCCTGCGAGGAGAGGGTAGGCAGCAGGCCGCTCCTCTGATTTGGCCAGCTCTCTGGTTACCCTGTTTCCTGCCTGGGCTCAGAGTTGAGGAGGGCACTCCATGATTCTGGGTGGTGGCAGGCTTGGAGCCGTGCTCCTTTCCTGCCAAGACTGCAGGTCTCTGCTGGTGACATCATGGGTTGCCTGGACAGTGTCCAGTTTGGAGAAGGATTGGTTTAGGCCTCACCAGGGTGGTTGGTTCATCAGACATTTAGGAGAAGTGAAATACTTGGGGCCTTGTATTTTCTAGCTAGTTCTGCTTCTGGAGGTACAGGAGTGGGCATTCTGGAAGGGTAGGCAACCAGACGGATAAGGCTATCCCTATGGAGTACACAGCTTTTCTGTTTTCCCACTCTCTGGAGGACTCTGGGATTACTGTTGTCACAGTGGCTGCCTCTGGTGTGTGTGTGTGTTTGCATGTGCACTGGGGTACAGATTGGGTGGGGGGGGGCTCATCTCGGGGTTGCCCCTGTGGTGTGTTTGGCATGGAGATGTGAGGGTGGGTGAGAGGCACATGGGGAATCAGTATGAGTCTGCATGCATTTGAGAAGGTGAGGGTGTTCACGCAAGTGTGACTTACCTAGAGGGTGTCCTCTAGGTGTGCTAGGACTTCATGTACACAGTCATTTTACCCTCATGGGACCCCGTTCAGAGCACTAAATTAGACATGCTAGCAAAACAACTGAAGAGAAGAGTCAATTTGTCTTATGGTTTTAGAGGTTTCAGTCCATGGATGCTCTGCCCTGTACCCGTAGGCAGAGCATCAGGGTAGTGAGGAAATGCTAGGCTGGGGCTGCTGACTTACCTCAGGGTAACTGGAAAGTAGAGAGAGAATACCAAGGTTCAAGCTGGCTAGCTTCCTCCTTCCCTGACTTTATTCCATCTGTACCCTCAGCCCATGAGATGGTGCCCCCACACTTACAACAGGTCTTCCACTCTTAGGTGGTCCTCTCTGGACATGCCTTTGTACACATGCCCAGAGGTGTGCTTTGCTGGCCTCCTAGGTGTTTCTCAATCCAGTCAAGTTGCCGGCCATGTTAGCTGTCTTAACCTGCAAAGCCTCTCCTGTGTGTGTGTATGTGTGTATGTGTGTGTCCATCTGTGCGCACATGTGTGCTGAAGTACAGACAGGAAATGTGTGTGGGGTCATCTCACGGTTGCCTTTGTGGTCTGTTTGGCCAGGAGATGGGAGGGGTGGGTGTGGCTCTTTGGGAAGTCCCAAGCTCCTCTTCCCCTTGGGTCTCCTCCTCTAGTGGGGACTGGTGGCTGTCCAACATAGGTGGTGCCCTAGGCAGTCCTCTACCTTCTCACCCTGCCCTTTCACTTCTCTTCCTCACTTGCTGGGTCTCTCCCATATTTGCTACCACAGCCTGCTTGGGGCTGACTTTCAGGCCCCTGCCATATTACCTTATTTTCTGAAGCCTCCTGGGTCCTTGTGTAGCATCATCAGGAAGGACTCAGGAAACTTCTCCCTCAGTGTCCTCTAGAGGGATCCTGTGAGCTCCACAGGCCAAGCTAGATGGGAACAGGGAGATGGGACATGGTGGGCCGGTGACCCTGGCATGTCCCTTCATCTCTTAGAGGCTCCTTTTTCTTAGATATCATTCCAGATTGAGGCTAACGTGAGTTACCTTCGTCATCTTCTGGGAGTACTTGAGACTGGAGGTGGCTTGACCTTAGCCTAGGGGGCTGAGAGGGACCTGGGCTGGTGTTTGTAGCAATTTTGTGACAGGTAGTAAACTGACTTTGTGCACTTGGAACTGCAGGGAAGGCAAAGGCTTTCCTGCTTCCAAGAGCACGGGTTGGCAGGCAGGGTCTCACAGGTGGACGTCACAGGTGGACGTCACAGGTGGGCGTCACAGGTGGGCGTCACAGGTGGGCGTCACAGGTGGACGTCACAGGTGGGCGTCACAGGTGGGCGTCACAGACTGAGCTGTAAGGGAAATAATTTAAACACACCAGACCTCACACAGTTTACTCTGGCTTAGTCCCATGGTGGACTGGAGGAGCCCACAGCCGAAGCCCACAGAACCGTGGTGGTCAGAAGTGGACACAAGTCAGGGCATGAAGGCCCTGTAGGGCACAATGGGTTCCAGTTTATAGACAGAGGGCTCTAGACAGCACCAGGATATGCTTGTTTGCTTAGTGACAGTCTCTTTCCTGCTGTGGATAGATAGTTCTGGGAGGTCCAGGTTCCTCAGTCCCAGCACAGGGCCTCTCACCTGAACACAGTAAATGTCGCCTTACCCTAGTCATCATTTACCTAGAGAAGAGTCATTGTTTCTGTGTTCCAGGTTCTGTGTCACACACAAGAGGGCTCACTGACGAGGTCCAGTGGACCATCGGGTTTGTCCTTATGGTGCAGAGCTACAGCTGGTGTCAGCAATAATAATGGCACTCATTAGCTAACTGCCATTTCTGTCTACACCCTGGGTCACTCCCATCTTGCAGAGGAGAAAACTGAGGTCCAGAAGCATCTGACTTGCTGGTCTGGAAAAAGGCAGAGTTAAAGTCCCTGACCTTCACCACCTGAAGGCTCTCTCTGGGCTCTCTGTGATCACTCGCACTATCTCTTCCCTGTCCAGTGTCTACCAGGTGGTCGTGGAGGAAGAGCGACCACGGCGCTTGCGGCGGGAGCCCGGAGGTCAGGACTGCTTCTCGGTACCTCTGACCTTTGAGACGGCCCTGGCTCGAGGCCTGGTGCACTACTTTGGGGCTGAACTTGCTGCCAGCAGCCTGCTTGAGGCCATGCCTTTCACTGTGGGTGACAACCAGACTTATCGTGGCTTCTGGAACCCACCGCTTGAGCCCAGGAAGGCCTACCTCATCTATTTCCAGGCAGCAAGCCACCTGAAAGGGGTGAGGGGCCAGTTGGGTCCTGGTGGTGTAGGCTGGGGAAGTGGGTGGTAGGGTGCGGAGCCTTTGGGAAGACCTATCACTGAGGCCTGAGGCCTGGTCCTAGACTTCTCTATAAGCTAACCCCCTTCCATTGAGCCTTACTCTACTGATCCGAGACTACTTCTCACAGATGCCCCAGTACTCCTGCTGTCCAGGCCCCCTTGCTTGCCTTCTTTTAGATGTCTCTTTTCAGAAGCCCACCTCCACCCCAGGCCCCACCTCCACCCCAGGCCCCACCTCCACCCCAGGCCCCACCTCCACCCCAGGCCCCACCTCCACCCCAGGCCCCACCTCCACCCAGGCCCCACTTCCACCCCAGGCCCCACCTCCAGAGGTCCAGGGCCCCACCTCTACCCCAGGTCCCACCTCCACCCCAGGCCCCACCTCACCCCCAGGCCCCACCTCCACCCCACTCTCCCTTCTCCCTGAGCTCTGCCCTCTTCTTTCGGTGTCTGTTCCTCAGTGCTCCAGCCCTGGATTCTCTCACTTTTTAGCAGACACCTGGATTGAGTTCCTGGCCTCATGTCCGAGTCTCCACCACTTTCCTATGCTGTCTTTGTGTCCTCCGATTTCACTGGGCTTAAAGCACAGCTCTGTGGAGTGTCCTTAGTTAACACTTTGCAGCTGACATGTGAGCCCTGACTCAGAACGAGCGTTTCTGATCTGTGGTGTGTGCGTTTGGCTTTTGTGTCTCTGAGTCCCTTTATCTGTACTTCCAGGAAACCCGACTGAACTGCATCCGAATTGCCAGGAAAGGTGAGTCCACTAGGTATCTTCAGCCCTACCCAGGCCTGGCCTCTTATCCATTCAGCTCCAGGGAACCCAGGGCTAAGAACGCGGACAGGACTACGTGAGCATAATAAGGCTGCGATTGGCTGTAGTCAGGAAGGGCTTCCCGTCCTGGCCCATTTCAATGGCTTCTTCTCTCAAGCCGGACAGCAGGCAGCCTCTCCCACCCTTTAGTGATGGAAGGGACACTTGACAGAGACAGGGACCAGCTTGTAGAGAGAAAGCCATTGAACTTGTGTCTTGAGGGTGATGGTGACTGGTCCCTGGTTCTGGGGAAAGACAGACGGAGACCGACAGGGAGACTGTGATGCGAGTCCCTCTTCTAGACACGGGCTGTGGTTGGTTACATCTTGGGATGTATCATTTGTGACATAGATACTTTACCCATTCCATCACCTGGCAGGTGGGCAAGAGGGTAGTTCCGAAGGCCCCGGGTGCCCTCAGTTCTCGGAAGATCCTAGGGGAGGCCCTAGCGAGGCTGAGTTGAAATATGAAGGGGGGCTGTTGGCTGAGAGGTGGGGTTAGGAGATCCAGCCCTGGTTGAACTGTGGAGCAGTGCCTGATGAAGAACTGGGCCTCTGCGCATGCGTGTTGGTGCAACCTGTTTGGGGCCTCGGTACTCAGATCCTGGCCTGGGTGACCTTTGCCCCTTTGCTTCTCTGTCCTCTTTGTTCTCCCCAGCTGCGTGTAAGGAGAGCAAGCGACCCCTCGAAGTGTCCCAGAGATCGGAGGAGATGGGGCTTATCCTGGGCATCTGTGCAGGTGGCCTTGCCGTCCTCATTCTCCTCCTGGGGGCCATCATTGTCATCATCCGTAAAGGGTGAGTGGGACCAGTGCCCTGACCTACTGGGGGCCCCTACACTTGGAAAGCCTGCTGGGCATAGAGGAGCGATGGCTGGGGTTGGTAGAGCAGCTCGTCTGGTGGCAAAGTATGTGGAGGGTTGCCAGCCTGGGCACTGGGCCTGTGGATTAACACACACTGGGCAGTGGGAGTCAGAGACTCAGCAAAGGGCATTGTTGTGGCTGGAGCACAGGTCTGGCTGGTGCCAGGTACCACTCTCCAGGAATGCATATTCTGCTTGGTGCCAAGGAGCTGTGTTGGAAGCAGGCACTGCTCTCCTTTGCCTACAGGGGCTGTTCCAATAGGAAGGGATAGAGACTCCCTGACTGGGACTTGGCCCTCTAGCCAGGGTATCTGCCCTGACTGACTGTGCAGGCCCAGAGCCCCTGAGTGGGAGAACTGCCAGGGGGTTGATGGACATCTTGTCTAGTGATTAGAATGGTTTTAAAGCACAGAGCATGTCAACACTGACAACCTCCCTCACTATGGTGAGTGCTTGCCTAGCACACATGAAGCCCTAGGTTCAGTGCCCAGCCTGGCATAAACCAGAAATGATGTCAAACATGTAACATTCCAGAGATGGATGGAGGAGGATCAAAAGTTCAAGGCCGTCTTTGTCATCTCTACTGTGTACTGGGTTGCCTGGGTTACCTTGTTCCAAAACAAGACAAAAGATCAAAGCAACAAAACAACCCCCCCCCCAACCTCCAGAACACAGTGCATCAAGCAGAGTTGGAGGCAGGGTGGGAACTCCTGAGACCCCTCTGCCTGCAGCCACATTCTCACCAGGCACGTCCAGACCATGGTGGCTCGAGCACCTTAACTGAGCCCTAGAGGTGTCAGTGGACCTGCCCAAGGTCACCCTAGGAGCCAGAGGCAGAGCCAGCCTCTTCCTTCCCCATGTGGACTCTGGCTTCTGTAGCTCCTGCTGCTGCCAGGCTGGGCACACGCAGGCTGGTTGGCAGAGGCTCTCTGGGCTGCCAGGAGTAGATAAGTAGGATCCAAGGAGCTGGGACAAAAAGCTGGCTAGGGCCATCAGCAATGGAGATAGGCTGTGCCCGTGGAATGGAGAGTGTGTGTGTGGGATGGCCTATCCTGGGCTCAGGCTCAGATTTTTCTTTTTCTTCTGAAGTCTCAGAAGAGTGTCTTGAGACACAGTATTTTTAATGATCACTTAATGAGGAATGACTGTGTGCCAGGAGCGTTAGTTATTGAGTACCCAGAATGTGCCAGACGAGGTTCTGGCACTTGGGATCTATCCTAGAACATTTCCTTCTTGGATCCTGACAAACAGCAGGTCTGACTCCCTTTTCACCGACGGAGAAGCTGTAATTAAAGTGAGTTGCCCGTGTCACTAGGTAAAGTGATAGGGCTTGTTCTGAACGCAGGCCTCGTTAGAAATGGGCAAACCTCACTGGGGCTCCTTGTCAATGGCAGGTCTCTGCAGTTGTGCCCAGCAGAGGCCGAGAGGGCCCTGTAAGTAGGGTTCAGGTATAGAAGGCTGTTGTTCAGGGGGACTGCCGGAGTGTGTTTGAGTTCCTAGGAATCTCCCCTTTGGGGAGAGAATGGGCTATGTGGCATATCACCCTTTCTCCTTGCAAACAGAGCCTCCGGTCAGGACAAGGTGGGTCACAGATGTAGTCAGCATGTCACTAGGAGACAGCCTCCATTAGAAGTCACTAACTCATTTATCAACACCTGTCCAGGCTGTCTCCGATGCCCCTAAGACCATTTTCTTCCCCAGCACTGGCGCTTTGCTCTTTCCACTGCGTCCCATCATTGTGTCCCCGGGTCCTGTCCTTGGGGAGCCAGCATACTCCTCAGTTTGCATTTTGGAGTGGGTTGGAACAGAGCAGGATCTGAACAGGTTCCAGAACAGCCTGTGTTATAAACATCAAAATGGACATGGTAGGGGGTATGGTACCAACCCCTGGGATTGATGGAACCTTGGGAGGGAGTTCCTGGGCAAGAGTCCTGAGACAAGAATTCTGAGATGGGGGACTCTGGCTTTTGCCATGATAACCTGTGACTTAATGTTCTCATCTGTGAAATGGGATTTTTTTTCAGTGCTGGAGAGTTAGCTCTGAGCCTTGAGCACACTAGGCAAGTATTTTTTTACCAATCAGCAGCAATCTTAATTCAGTGTGAAGCTTTTCGTATTCACGTTGAGTGTCCAGTGAGAGGGTGGCCTAGTTCCTTAGTGAGCCCCATAGACAGGGTCAGTCAAGGTGGGAAGAGTGAGCCCTAGGCTTGCCTAGATGTCTTGCTGGGGGCTCTCTATCCTGCTGGGGTTTCTTCACTCTGCCTCTCCTTGTCCTTAGCTAGACTCTTTCCCAGGCTGAGGTGTATGCTTGGGGCTGCCTGCTTAGGGACTTTGGAGACTGCAGAGAAGAGTCTGAGGGTAGAGGCTGTCTCTGAAGGCCAGAGAAGGCATGGATGAGGGAAAGTTCCTTTGAGTGTTTGAATCTGTTGTCTGTGTGTGCCAGTGTGCTTCTGTGTGTGAATGTATGTGAATCTATCTGAGTGCATCTGGTTATGTGTGAGTGTGCATGTGTGCGTGTGTTTGTCTCTGCACGTACATAGTATGTGCAAAAGCTGTACATCCCTCAGACTCTTTGCCTACCTCTGCAAGCACACACAGGGAAGATTCTGGAAGGGCTTTTAGCCCAAGCTTACAGTGACTACATCTGGTCAGCCTTCAGACTGAGGATGTCCCCTTGACCTGCGTGGTCTCTTCCTCCTGGGGCGGAGGGGTGGGTGGGAAGTCTGGTAACATTGCTGTTTCTCTTTGCACGCTGCCAGGAGGGACCGCTATGCCTACTCTTACTACCCGTGAGTAGTTCTGACCGCCCGAGGCTCCCAGGGCCTGCCCTCCCCACCACCCTCTCCTTCTCTGGCTTTGTCAGTGTCCGCCTCTTTCCATGGCCCACTCTCCCTCCTGGTATTGCTCCTCTACCACAGCACTGCCTCTAGAGCGAGCTGGCTCTGTATTCCTCCTGGCTATCCTGCAGCTCACAGCACTTCTCTGGACTTCCATGACCCTCTCCAATGAGGTGCACCCCACCCTCCAGCTTCCTGAACCTGTCCCCTACCCTGCTGGTTCCCAGCACCAGCCCCCACTTTTCCTCCCTTCACTCCAAGGAATTGCTGACATGGCTGCTTTCCCTCCTGTGATTTTGTGCAGATAATTTTTGAACCTAAATTCAGAACTTTTGAGCGTGTGCATTAAATTCCATTTGCCTCCTCTCACACCGAGATCAGCCGGAGGCCAGTGGAGTCAGGTGTCTCTCCCCCCCCCCCCCCACAGCCCCTGTGCTCTGTCTCCTGTGGACCTGATGGGTTTGATTTTGTAATTTTTCCAAGGAGGCTGACAGCCCCTAGCTTGGAATAGAGCCTTGTGGTGCACCACTGGAGACGGCCTTCTAGGCCAGTATCCACTCACTGAAGGGTTCTCTTGGGTCTCATTGTTCAGCTTGGCAGGGTCTTCTCAGCCTCCACATGGGTCCTAGGACATTTCCATGGGGCCTTTTTGCCCTTTCAGCCACCGAGAGGCACAGCTGTGCTCTCTGCGTCTTATCGTCCCTAAGTGCCTGGGAGTCACAGCTGGCCGTTTGCTCCAGTGAAGGGTCCCAGGCAGGGCTTCTCTCTCTCTCTCTCTCTCTCTCTCTCTCTCTCTCTCTCTCTCTCTCTCTCTCTCTCTCTCTCTTCCCCCACTGCACTCATTTGCTGGCCAGGCAGGTGACAGAGTTCCACAGTGGGTGTACCCTGGGAGGCCCCTGAGCTGGCAGAGCCCTCAGAAGGCCTGGAGGAAATCCCAGGCAGGGATCTTGTGGGAGGCGAGTGCTTGGGGCTGTATGGGTTAATCTTTTGGTTTGTGGGATGGTGGCTCTGTAGTGGTACCTAATTAAGCCAAGTGAATGGCTGTCTCCTGAGACCTTGGAGGCAGGAGGGATAGGGAACAAGGTCCCCGCTCATGGCTGCAATTGGCCCTTCCACATCTAAAGATGCTTTTGCAATGCTGCAGACTCCCAGGCTCTGAGAGCTGGGTCTCCTCTCCCACCTCTGGGTGCTGTGGACCTACCCCCAGTACAGGGTCTTGTCCCCTTCTGCAGGAAGCCAGTGAACATGACGAAAGCCACGGTCAACTACCGCCAGGAGAAGACTCACATGATGAGTGCCGTAGACCGCAGCTTCACAGATCAGAGTACTCTGCAGGAGGATGAGAGGCTGGGCCTGTCCTTTATGGATGCTCCTGGCTACAGCCCTCGGGGTAAGTACCGGCCCTCTCAACCCCCAGGCTCACAAGTCACAGGAGTCCTGCCGAGGCCATCCCACCTCCAGTGTGTCAACATTGGCCCAGAAATCCAGAGCATACACAAGATGTATTGGCACTGTGCTTGGAGAGGCTGAGAGGAACTCTGCCAGAGCAGCAGTGAAGGTGAAGGGCATACCTTCACCTCTTTTTTGGTACCTATTGTTTGCCAGATTGGGATCCAGTAGCTGGGGGCAATGTGTGGAGACAACCAGCCCATAGTGACTCATGCAGACCTGGACTGGCCTCTGGAATCTCTTCTTTATAAGGTTGTGTGACCTAGGGCAAGTCACTTCATTAGGCTCTCTAGATGTCTGTTTCTCCACGTATTAAGTAGAAAGAAGGTCATCTCTGCTGGCTGACCGGTTCTCCACAGGGCCACTATGATGTACAGATGAGATAGTGTTTGTAAATTGCTTGGTGCTGTGTGTCCAGATTGCCAGAGCAGTCCAAGAGTGAGTCAGCTGCTAACAGCCCTTAGCTGCTCCCATCTCTCGTCCTTTTACTTTATTTATTGTTGATTTACACAAAAGGAAATAGGGAATGCCACCGAAACCCTCTTTATGCCCAAAGTCATAACTGTACCAAGTACCAGTGAACCACGGGCATTCAACTAGGCACTGTAACAAGGTGATGCTTCCAGCTACCCCCCCTTGCATAAAGACTCCCCTGAAATTTGCGTTCACAATTATCTGGACTTTTTTTCTTAAAAGATTTATTTATTTTTATTTTATGTGTGTCTATCTATATGTGTATATATGCATCCTGTGATTGCAATACTTGAGAAGGACAGTAGAGGGCGTTGGAACCCTCTGGAGCTGGTGTGGGTGCTGGGAACAGAATCTGGGTTCTCTGGGAAAGCAGCTTGTTCTTGGGCTGGGAGGTAGTACAGGGGCAGAGTGCTTACCTAGCTCATAGGAGGGCCTGGGTTCAAACCTCAGCACCGCCCACCAAAACAAACCAACAACACCCAAGAGCAGTGAGCTCTTGACATCTGAGCCATGGCTGCAGTCCAGCTATCTCTCTGTCTGTCCTTTAAAGGGCAGCTATACTCCACATACATACTCCCCGAAGAGCACATTGCATATTTGACTCATTTTCTAGCTAGCGTCACGTTCTCATCTTTGCCCACGTAAACGTCTGACTTGGCCGAGGTTCATTGACTGTTGTCTGATGTATAGTTTTCCACTGTGTGACACAGTTGTGTTCTTTGTGACATTCACTTGTTGGGCTTCTGGTTTCCCGTTACCACAGCAAGGCTGCTGAGAGCCCTGTTACACAGGCCTTTAGACACTCCTGCGTGTGGGAGCCTCCAAGCAGACTCACTGGATGATGAAGTACTCCTTCAACCTCCGCAGACAGGGCTAGGACGTTCCCAAGGCAGTTTGCTTCGCCCCTTCTGCTGTAAAAGACTGTTGCTGTACATCAGGATTAAAATTCGCCAGCCTCCTTCCCGTTGTGGGGCTGGTTTGTATGGAAGGGTGATTTTCTATAGTTCCCATTTGCATTTCTCCCAGTGCTAATGAGGTTGAATACATTTTCCAGTCATGATTGGCATCCAGGCCTCTTCCGTGAAATGCCTGCACATCTTTCACCTCATTTTCTGTTAGGTTTTTTTCTTTTTCTTTTTTTGGTTGCTTTCTTAGTGGTTTTTAGGAGTTCTTTATATATTCAGGATAATAGTCATTCGTCACATATGAATTGCAAATATCGGTTCCCAGTTTGTAGCCCATCTTTCCAGGTTATTTATAGCATCTTTGGAGGAATAGGAAAGTCTTTATTTTAATGTCCCCATATTCGTCAGTCATTTCGTCTGTGACTTCTGCTGTCTGTGTTTCCTTAGAATTTTTCTCAGGGACTGGGAAGATGACTCTGTCCATAAAGTGCTCGCTGCACAAGCATGAGGACCCGAGTTCAAGCCCCAGGACCTACCTTTAAAAGGCCAGGCACAGGTGGGAGAGATGGTTCAGCCACTAAAGGCCGGGTACCTGAGGGTCGATGGCGCTCACTGTCCAGGTAGCAGAGCCTAAGTGGTGAGCTCTAGGTCCAGAGAGAGACTAGTCTTGAAAGATAAGGTGGAAAGTGATAGAGGAAGACACCCAAGGTTGGCCTCTGTCTTCCATATGCATGTCTACTGGAGCCTGCTCATACATGTGTACCCGCCCCAGCCCCGCCCACAGCCCCGCCCACAGCCCCGTGGTGAGCCCCACCTTCAACCCTACCCTCAGTCCCGCCTACAAGAGAGTGTGTGTGCACACGTACTGTGCGGGGGTGGAGGGTGGGGGGCTGGGGGGAGGGGGCGGACGCGCACGCGCGCGCGCGCACACACACACACACACACACACACACACACAGACACACACACACACACAGAGGCATACACATGCGTCTTTAACCTTTTTTAAAAAAACCCTTTGTTCCCTCAAACTTCATATCTTCCAATTCATATTTAAATCTTTCTCTGGAATCTATTTTTGTGTGTGGTGCGAATTAAGGGTTTTCTTTTATTCACAGGGATAACGAGCGGTTTCTGTATCATTTTCTTTCTTAAAAATTTTGTTTTGATTCATTCTCTGTGTATATAATGTGGGGTGGGGGAGGGGGTGGAGGAGCTCGAGCCGCTGCAAACATATGGAGGCAGGAGGACAACTTTTCAGAGTCTACGTTTAGGTGGGTTTGGTGGATCAAACTTGGGTCACCAGGTTTGTGTGGCAAGCACGTTTGCCTGCTGAGCTAGCTCGTGAGCCCCTCACTCTACTAATTTACAAAGCGGTCCCTGTCAGTCTTTCACGGTTCCCTAACGTGTGGATTGGTTTCTAGCTTTCGTCTATTAGATCAGTTTTCTGATTCCTGGGCTGAAGTCACAGGATACTCACAGCTGTCTTGGGGTCTAAGACATGCCCACCCCCTTTACTCTCCAAGGCTTTTGTCCTCAGTCTCTTGGTTACAGATTTTAGAATCGTATTTTCAGGTGGCTTCACATCAGATCCATGGGTCAATTTTAAGACGCCATCTTTCCCCTCATGAATGCCGTATATGGGCATGATCCATATCACCTTACTTATTTACATCTTCCATACCTGAAAGTATTTTCCTCCATAAAAGCTGTTGTCCATCTTTGGTGAACTGCATCTTCAGGGCCCTTAATTTTTGCTACTGAGGATTGAACCCAGGGCTTGGTGCATGCTAAACACGGTGTTTTACCACTAACCCGCACCATCCCTAGGTCTCTGACTTAAGAATTTAAAAATTACATTACTTACTTGTTAGTTTGTTTGCTTATTTATTTATTTATTTATTTATTTATTTGTGTGTGTGTGTGTGTGTGTGTGTGTGAGTCAGAAGACAACTTTTGGTGAGTTCTTTCCTTCTGTTCTGTGGGTCCCAGGAATTGAACTCAGGTCATCAGGCTTAGTGGCAAACACCCTTCACCTGCATCGCCACTTTATTGGTCTTGTTTTTGACTGCTATTGCACACAGTGCACTTTAAAATACCCCTTTCCCTCCCTCCCTCCATCATTTCTTTTTTTCTCTTTCTCTTTTGGAGATAGGATGTATCCCTCGCTCTCCTGGAACTCACATTGTAGATCAGCTTCGCCTTCAACTCACAGAGATCCTCCTGCCTCTGCCTCCAGACTGCTGGGATTAATGGCGTGCACTAACACTTTCCCAGCTTGGGGTTGATATTTTGATATGTGGCTTGATCTTAAATTCATACTCCTCTATGGATGTTCTTCTTAGTTCTAATGGATCTGTAGACTCTTTCAGGTTTCCCAGTGTAGTCTGACGATCTGGAGACACCAGAACTTGTGTTACTTCTAGGGCAGTGGTTCTCAACCTTCCTAATGCTGTGACCCTTAAATCCCATTCCTCACGTCGTGGTGACCCCCAACCATAAAATCATTTCATTGCTACTTCATGACTGTGATTTCGCTACTGTTATGAATCTTAATGTAAACATCTGATAAGCAGAATATCTGATATGCGACCCTAAGGGGTCGAGATCCAGGGGTTGAGAACCGCTGCTCCTTCTGTGGTTTTCTGGACATCTCCAGTGGGCACCTGTAGTATTATACTGAGTTGGAGTTCTTATAGCAGAAATCTTTGTCTTGTTTTCTTGGCCTTAAAAAGATGCTTCCAACATTGAAACATGGAGAATAGTTTGCTTAGGGTTTGAGGGTTGAAACGTCTTGTCAGGCTAACAGTTCCCTTCTGTTTTCAGCATGCTAAGTGGGTTTCAGACGAAACACTCATTAGACTTACCTGCCATGGCTGTGGCTTCCCTTTTGTTTGTTAATGAAGAGAGTGGTATTTTTTCATTTTCTAATATCCTGTATTTATTGTTCAAGAATCTTCAAGTTGTCTTTCTGGGTGAGTTCTTCCTGCAAATGGTTCTACTTTGTACTTTTCCTGTCTGGCTTTGGTATCTGATTTTTTTAAAAAATGCATTGGGTTTCTGCTTTTTTTCCTTTATCATGGAAAGTTTGACTAAGTCACTTCTGCAAAATTTGGCTGTTGTTTTCTCCATGGAAAGATTTAAATTTTCTTTTGAAAATAGATCACATTTTGCTGGGTGTGGTGATGTACACCTTTAATTCTGGCACTCTGGAGGCAGAGGCAGGCAGATCTTTTATGACTTAGAGTCCAGCCTGGTCTATGTAGTGAGTTTCAGCACAGTCAGAACTACATAGAGAGAGAGAGAGACACTGTCTCATGTCAACCAAAATAAATAAATAAATAAATAAATAAATACACTTAAGGCTTTTAAAAAAAAGAGTGAGTGTTGAGGTGGGCACAGGCCTTGCTGCTGAGTGTCATTGGAAAAGGGGGGGATGGAGGCAGGGATAGGTGGGTGAAATGGAGCTCCACCCCCAGGGAACCTAAGGATTAATTGAGACCAGAGTGACCATGGGAAATGGGGACCAGGACAGCTACCATGTAGGCGCTGGAGACTGTAAGTGTTATCAAGAGTTTTGAGAAGTTGTAACTATATCACATTTTTATATACACATTTTTCTGTGTATTATCGTGTGGGTACGGGAGTGCCACTGTGTACATGTGTAGGGGTCAGCACACATGTCGGTTCTCTCCTTTTACTGGATGTGGGCTGGCAGACTTGGTGATGGGTACCTCAACCCATGGAGCCATCTCGCCAGCCGAAGTTTTAAAATCCATGCTCAGCTTCTTTACAGGAGCCAGGCCTTCAGACTTGCTGTTTTTGAGTCACTTTTGATTTTTTTATATGTCTATAGAACTATCATGCGTGTATCTGACAGTGACACACTTGACGTTCCATTATCGAGCCTGATGTACGCCCGTTTTCTGTTTGTCGTCTGCCTCCATGAACTCTCACCGTTTTACATTGCTTAGTGGTGATTATCAACCTTCATGTTACAAAAAGGAGGAGAAAGGAGTGCTGTGGTCCCCGTGGGCAAAGGGCCCACTGACGTGAAGGGAGCTCTGCGTAGAGCATGTCATACATACATAGGGCATGCTGACTCCTCCTGTAGCCCCTGTATTATACAAGGACTCTGGGGCTAGTCCACCCCCAGCCCCATGCAGCACACACAAGTGCTGGCCATTCTGAAAGATGTGTGCCCAAATTGTGGCTCTGCTACCTCTGACTATGTGACCTGGGCAAGTGATTTCCCCTCTCTGAGCCTCTTTTTCTTCACATTTTTGCTCATTTATTTGTCATCGTGATAGGTCTCAGGTAGCCCAGGCTGGCCTCAAAGTCCTTGTATAACTCAGGGTGACTCTTCCCTTCCAGTGACTCCAGGTTATAACAGCTAGAAAACCTCCAAGGCTGGAGCTGAGGCTTAGAACCCCTTCGTGCTTCGTCTACTCGCTGTCTGTTGGATAGCCTCCTGTTTCTTGTCTTTTCCAGACATCAGAGACCCAATTTTGGTTTACAACAGAAAAACCATGTTTATCTATTAGATCTTCTCAGGGCCCTTATAAATAAAAGTTGCTTCAGGAGGAATGGTTTATTTTGGGCCGTTTCACTGGCTTTAGTTCCTCCGTGTGAGAAGGGTGCAGTGGAGAAGAACCTCGCACACCAGACCACCAGGAGCAGAGGTGTTGCCTGCCCATGCTGGCTTGCTCCCTCTTCCTCCTCACCAGGACCCCAGCCCGTCTCCATCCCGTCCCACTTGCAGCACTGGGCTTACAGGCATGTGCTTCCATGCCCGGCTTTCTCTGTGTGGATCAAACCTCCAAGACAGGTGCTTACCCATGGAGCCTCTCCCTAGCCCCTGGGATCAATCAACCTGCTGGTGGATGAGCAGGCTGATCCTTGGGGCGGAGCTTGGGATGGGGTGGGAAGTACTTCTCTAATCCCACAGCAAAGAGAATGGAGACCTGGCTTCTCTGAGCCCAGGAAACCAGGTCATGGCCCAGGATCCCATCCTTTGCAGCAGTTGTTCTAGGGTTCATCTGTAAGGTGACTGGATTCAGCTTTGGCTTCACATCAGGGTTTCAGCCTGGTTTTTGGTCATCGGAAATGGACTGCACCTATGTGCCTGCTGGTCATGTGGGCCGATTGAACTCTGTGGATGAGCTGTCACTCTCCTGTCACTCTTGTTTGAGTCTCTTCCTACCTGGTGATCACTTAGTGAGCCATTGACTCTGTGTCTACAGCAACCCCCTGAGCTCCCCATCCTCCTTGATGATCCGAGTTCTTTGAACCAGCAGAAATCTTTTGTGTATGCCTGTGTGTGTGTGTGAGAGTGCACGTGTGTGTGTGCGTGCACACATGTCTGTCTGTCTGTCTGTCTGTCTGTGTATGTATTTGTGTGTATGTATGTATTCATGTATATTTGTACATATATTTGTGTGTGTGCATGTATATACGTGATTTTTTTTTTGTGTGTGTAATGTGTGTGTATTTGCATTTGGAGGCCATAAGTTGACATCAGGTATCTTCTTCAGTTACTTCTGAGAGGTCTGTTGCCAACCCTGTAGTTCACCATTAAGCTAGACTGACTACTGAGCTGCCAGGGATCCCCCTGTCTCTGCCTCACAGTGCATGGCACTGTGCCTGGATTTTTTTTTTTTACTTGAGTGCTGGGGATTGAACTCAGGTCCATGAGGTTTGTGTAGCAAGTGCTTTGCCAAGCCATCTCTCCAGCCCCAGAAGTCCTTCTTGAAGTCTCATATGTTGTCCACTTGCATAGTTGTGGCTGCTTTTTGGAACTGGCTTTGTAGGCTGGACCAACGTCTTTCAATGGAGAAGGACCAGGTGTTCAGTCTGCCAGCTGCCCTGGCTTTCGGGGACTCAGGGACTCCCTTTCCTAGAAACGGCTAACAATGCCAGCAGTTGCCGTGGGTGGCGCTGCTTGGTGCCAGGCTCTGAATGCCCCTTCTATGCTGTCTTATTTAACAGTTACACTGCCATGTTGAGCAGAATCAGTTTTTACTTCATTTGGCATGTAGAAGTGGAAGTTCAGACAGACTAAGTAGCATCCTTAAGGTCATATGTGGAATTGGGATTTGATCTGAGATCTGTCTAACTCCAGACCCTCTGTCAATCTGTACTGCGGCCCCCTGAGGATGTCTCAAAAAACACAAAGAGCCCAGTTTTGTTGAGAAACGTGAAGTGGCCCTCCTTCCATCATCTCTTGAATATTTCAAATGCACGCAGACATGTTGGGAGCTCTGAGAGGTCTTACAGGGAAGATACCTATTTATTTTTGTTTACATCAGAATTGGAAAGACTCCTTTATATACAGATTTCGTCCTCTCTTTATCTAACTTGTATGCATTTGTGTGTATATAAATGTTCATATATGCAGTTGTATGTTCAGGTAAGCCTGCAAATGTATATGTATGTGTAAGTGTTCACATGCCTGTACACATGTGCATAAGCACTCATGTGTGACACATGTGTGGAAGTGTCCATGTGTGCATGTACATGTATGTATGTAAGTGTTCATGTGTGCATGCACGTGAAGTGTATGTGTGTGTGTGTGTGTGTGCGTGTGTGTGTGCATGTTCGGGCATACACATGTCTTGCATATTTACTATACTTACCACTATGACATGAGTCCTGTCTTCCCTCTTTGGATCTCAGCTTCCCTGTCTGTAAGATTAAGGGTGTGGAGGGAGCCTCTGACTACATGATGGTAACTGACCAGTTAGTTCTACAGCTGTCAGTCACCAGGACTCAGGATCAAACACAGGAGACAGTTGTTCTCTGTTAAACTGGACACTCTTTAGGACTAAGGCTGCTGAGAGGAGTATGGCCAAGTAGGAAGACCCTGCCATGGCCTTGAGGTCCGACCTGAAAGCAGTTTGCAAACCTTGGCATAGGATGCTGAGGGGTGGTCTCCCTGACCTGGCTGGGTTCTGGGGAGTGGCCTGAGCATCTTGCATTTATCTTCTCTGTGAGTCCCTAAGGTGGAGCATAGGTCCACATTGGAGAAGGCTCCAGGGGTCATTTTGGCTGAGACATGGGGGATACATTTGAGTTCTTGGGGCATAACGGCTAGGAAAGGAAAGGTATTGAGGGATCAGCGTGCAGGAGGCACAGGGAGGGAAGAACAGGCATCTGCTAGAGACCCCTTCACAATCCCTGCCAGGCCAGGCTAGTGAGAAATGTGAAGCACAGGTCTCAGGTCAGCCATGTAGCCTTTGCTGAGAGGAGATAGGAGACACACAGTGAGGGAAGCACCAGGTAGGAGAAACACTGGCTGCTTTCCTCAGCCTTAGACCCGAGCTTTGGAACCAGTGTGGGATGTCTTTGGGGCTGCTGATTCTAAGTGCTAGAGAGGGAGTGTCTGTCTGGCAGGATCTGGGGTCTGTGGAGCCCCCTTGTCTGGGCCACTACCTTGTCTGACAATGGAAATGTTGGCTCAGGAGAAACGCTCTATTCAGGTGCCTGGCAGCATTGCTGGTGGAGGGGCGGCTGCGCAAGCTAATTTTGCATTGCTCGTCTTTGAATGGGGGTAATTGCTGGGAGTTGCCAGTGTTCCCTGGAAGGGAGGGTTGACATGTCCAGGGCTCTGTGAATGCTGCCCGTGCAGGTTGAGCAGTGAAACCTGGCAGAGTGGTGTGTGACATTGTCATGGGGTCACAGAGTGACGAAGCCATGAGGACCTTATGGATTACCTCAGTAGACCTGCTTGTTTTGTAGATGGAAAACCTAAGATACGGAAAGGAAACACTTGCGGGTGCTCATCCCGGGGCGGCCGTGCTAAGCTTGACTCTAAGGAATGGCCCAGCCACCCTCCACGTTGGCTGTGCTCCCTGGCTCCAGGGGTATCTTACCCTGAGTATGCATATATGTGAGAGTCCTTTTCCCTTCCTGCAGGAGACCAGCGAAGCGGTGGTGTCACGGAGGCCAGCAGCCTCCTGGGGGGTTCTCCTCGGCGCGCATGCGGCCGGAAGGGCTCCCCGTATCACACGGGGCAGCTTCACCCCGCAGTGCGCGTGGCGGATCTTCTTCAGCACATCAATCAGATGAAGACAGCTGAGGGCTACGGCTTCAAGCAGGAGTATGAGGTGGGCGGGCCCGCCCTCCTCACTGTGCAGGAAACTCCCAGGCCAGCTCTGGCTGGACCCGTACCCTGACAGTCCCCAAGGCAACCTAACACTTTGACCTTAACTCTGACCTCCACTCTAAGCTCTGAGCGTCTGGCTGTTCACTGTTCCATCTCATGTCCACCCCGATCACGAGTCTTATCCTGTCTCTGGTTAGAGCCACAGCAATGCTGACCTTGGCCTAACCCCAGTCTGCCATTAACTCCTGACCTTCATCTGACTGGATTCCAGCCACCCTCATCTGGATACCAGCACTCCTTCCACTTAAACTTAATCTCAACCTTAATGTAGATTGTTTACTCTTTCCTCTCGTCCCAGTTCAGACTCAGGGTTCTGTATCCTAACCTCTGTGAACTCTGACCTCCCTCCGCACACACCTGGCCCTTAGGGTGCCCCACTCCCTCCCTGCCTGTGTCATTCCCCTCCTGGGGAGGGGTGCAGAGAGTCTTGGGCTCTCTCTCTTCCACTGACTACCACTTTCCCGTTGGCAGAGTTTCTTTGAAGGCTGGGATGCCACCAAGAAGAAAGACAAGTCCCATGGCAGCCGACAGGAGCCGGTGTCCGCCTGTGAGTTCCGGGAAAGGGGCCGGACTCACAACGACAGGAGGAAGTGAGGAAGGGGGAGCATGGCCAGAGCATGCTCCAGGTAGTCTTGTCTCAGAGACACAGCGTCCTGGCCACTGTGACGACGCTACAGTGCATTGCAGTACAGTATCTTAGAGATGAGGGAGCAAGTTTGGGAGGTCGAGACCTCAGCTAAAGGTCACATAGCTAATTGCAGCTCGTCTTCCTCAGTTCCATACTCTAATCCTTGGCTCATCCTCATGGGGCTCAGAGTTCATTGGTGGGCTCTGAGCCCTTATAAAGGTCACCTGGCATTCCTACTTGACACTTGCCCTAGTCTTCAGGAGATCTCCTCCAGGCTGTGTGGCGCAGCATGCTCTGCTACTGTTCACAGATGGTCGACACCATGTGAAACTCCACTCGATGCTGGGAGACCCCGACGGCGACTACATCTCTGCCAACTACATAGACGTGAGTGCCTAGCCCCGCTCTTTCTGCTTATCTGTCCCTGTCCCCACCAGAGAATAAATGAGGATCTGAATGGCTGAGTTGCGTTTGGTACCAGGGAATGCAGAGATGGGGAGCTGAGAATGGGTGTTGGCCTTCAGGAAAGCATCCTGAGGGCTGTGCTCACCCATGGGGAGGTAGAGCAACGTCTGGGGGCAGACAGGGAGCCTGAGGGATGGGAGGAGCTTAGCCTCAGCATCGGAAGAGGGATTCTCATGGTTTCCATAGTGAAGCTGAAGAGGTTATGCAGGGCTAGATGGTGAAGGCCTTGGGTGTCAGCCTAAGGACTTGGGCCAGCTCCATGGGCCATCAGGAAGTTGTTCAAGTGTTTGGCTTTGGTTACAGTGGTCATATATAGTGAGGTGTGTTTACTGAGCACATATTGTGTGCCAGGCACAGTGATTAAACATGTTTCATGCAATCTCACATTTCATATAACCTTATCACCCTCAGGAGAGGAGGCCGGAGCTCAGAGAGGTGAAGCTACCAGTTCTAGGTCACACAGTTAGAGTGATGAAGAACAGACTCAAGCCCCAGCGTGGCTGTCCCCTCAGTCTCTGCTGCTGACCGTTTGGCTGTCCTGACATTGGATCTGGCTGGACTGAGGGGAGGGACCAAGAGAGCGCAGGTTTCCCAGGGGTGGATGGGGGTGTTGACAGGAACTGGGCAAGGCCCAGGGCTTTAACTGCATTCCGTGCAGCAAGCTGAAATTGAGAGAGCATCTGTTAATCCTGCAGGAAATGCACCAGGGCGAGAGATGAGAGCACGTGACCATTCCTTTTCCTTTTCAAATGATATACAGGTTCTAGTGGGGAAACAGATTAACATCGAAGGAAACAGTCATGGAAACTTATTTCAGATTAGCTGGGAAGTCATAAGCAAGAAAGGTGTCATATAGCCAGTTAGTGGCAAAGCCAGGGCTGGCTGGGTAGACTGTGTGGACACAGTGTGGTCACAGAGGAAGGGGAGGGACTCTCAGGTACGAACAGGGAAGTCAAAGGCCAGGGAGGAAGCCGAAATTTACCAGGGCTGAGGTCATCAGGGTCTCTGAGATATCTCTCCTCTCCCTCTTCTGTCTTCCTTCTGGAGTTGAATGCACGACCCCTGTTTCCCAGAACCCTTTGCCTTCTCCCATGCTGTTCCTTGCCTAGGGTAAGAGCCAAGCCTGGCCTCACAGACTTGGGTGGCGTGGGGACAGTGGACCTTTCTCACTGGGGTTCCACCTGGTTGATTTCTCTCAGGCCCTGACAGGGACATGCACATCCCTCTCTCTGGCCACCTGTCTCTGTTCTGCCTGCAAACTCACGACACCCTTTCTAGCCTCTCCTGTGCCCTGCCCACCTCCATTCACCTCTGGCCTAACATCTGTCTCTTTTGCTTTGTTCTGTTCCGTCACTGGAATCATTAAGATTCGGATAAACCGACAAGTAAGTATCTCTCCCGTCTCCTCCTCCTCCTCCTCCTTTTCCTCCTTCTCCTCCTCCTCCTCCTCCTCTTCCTCCTCCTCCTCCTCCTTTTTCCTCCTCCTCTCTTTCCTCCTCCTCCTCCTTTTCCCCCTCCTCCTTCTCCTCCTTTTCTTCCTCCTCCTCCTCCTTTTCCTCCTCCTCTTCCTCCTCTTCCTCCTCTTCCTCTTCTTCCTCTTCCTCCTCTTCTTCCTGTACCTTCTCCTGTCTGGTGGACTGGCTGTGCCCTCAGGCTCTCTCACAGGCTCCAGCTGTCTCTCTCTTTCTCTCTCTCCCTCCTTCCCGTTTCCTGGTACCAAACAACAGCCACCCATTCCAGCAGCCTGCCAGGGTCTGCTACGGCTGAAGACTTTGTCTCCCCTCTGGGAGATGTTCCCTCCCACCTTCAGCTCTCTCCATAAAAGCAGCTCTGTTGGGGTGCTGGTCACTGCTGTCACCTATCCAGCCACTTCCCGTGAGCTTCATTTCCTCTGCCCTTCTGTAGAGCTCTTGGTATGTGTAATGGGGAAGCCACCCTCTGTGGCCTTGTCTCCACTGCTGAGAGGCTGAGGCCGCATCAGTCATCTTTAAGTCCATCTCACTTGTGTTCAAATCCCTTCGTGGTCAGTTTGCTTAAAATTCAACCCCAATCATTTGGCTCCATTTAGCCCCAATTTGAATGTGCTTTTTATTTTTTTTCCAAGAAATTAATTTGAATGTCAGTTTAAAAATTGTACTGTCTCCTGGTCTTTTGAGATTTTAAAAGGGCTGAGGACAACTCAGTGGAGTGCTGGCCAAGTGTGAATGAAGGCTCGGGGTGAGACCCAGCATTATGTAAAAACTGGATGTGGTGGCCTACCGCTTTAACCCCAGCACTGAGGCAGAGGCAGGTGGATCTCTGAGTAGGAGGCCAGCCTGGTCTACAGATCGAGTTCCAGGACAGTCAAGGGCTATGTAGAGAGGCTTGTCTCAAAAAATGAACAAACAAAACAAAATAAGAAAGAAAGAAAGAAAGAGAGAGAGAGAGAGAGAGAGAGAGAGAGAGAGAGGAAGGAAGGAAGGAAGGAAGGAAGGAAGGAAGGAAGGAAGAAAGGAAGGAAGGAAGGAAGAAAATCAAGGTCATCCTTAGCTATGTAGCAAGTTTGAGGCTAACCTGTCTCAAAATAAATTAAAGAGAAAGAAAGAGAGAAATGGAAAACCCTAATTAATTTAGCCTTCTTATTTATTATAATCATCATCGTTAATCTTGGTTTTTTGAGATGGAGTCTCACTCTAGCTAGGCTGGCTTGGAACATGCTACGTAGCTGAGGCTACACTCAGATTCACACAATCTTTTGCCTTGGCCTCCTGAATGCTAGGATTATATTTCAAACTATTTAATGAGTAGTATTCGCTGCTGTTTTGTGGGTACATTTTCCATTTTATCTCCTTAAAAAAAAGATCTTTCTTTCTTTTTTCTTTTTTTAATCATTGCTAGAATTCTGTTCGTTATCAGGCTTCCAGACAGCATGGCGAGACTAACACAGGAAGTGAAGGTCCCCCGTCATGTTTGGCAGGGACAGCCAATTATCCCAGACGGGCCCCTTATTCTGAGTACAGTCACACGGGTGGTGTGTAAAATTCTCAAATGTAAAAGGCCTATTAGGTTCACAAAACACAACGGATGTGCTGAGTCCTAGCGCCCCCTGTGGGTTGTGATGAATACGGGCCCTTTATTGGCTTTAGAATTACTGGTTCTCAGTGGTAACCCATTTGCCTTTGAATCTCACCCATTTGGTTCCCTTCTGTCAGACCCGTAAGAAATACCCTTAGAAGGTCTCACTGGGCTTAATGCTGACTCAAACGCCAGGGAACAATCCTGTCACCACCAGCACCTGCCAAGGGCCAGGCACCTGGAGTACATTGCTTAATTGTGCAAGGGACCATTTGCAGATGATAGTATTAGTCTGAAAAAGGTAAAATGACATGTGTAAGGCCACAAACCAGCATTATCATTCCACTGTCCCCCAGCACCACCCTTGTAGACTCCAGCAAGGGCTCTGTGGTCCTCACACCTAATGGTGCTTCTTGGGGTATGAGGTCCAGACCTCGGAGGTGCTACTCCCTAAAGTGGAAGTGTGCAAGGCGATCTGCTCACTTAACTTCAAGATATGATCATTTAAAACGTGTATTTGTAGGGGTTTTTGGATGACCGAGTTGGTAAATGCTTCCCTTGCAAGTGTGAGGATGCAAGTTCAATTCCCAGAACCCATGTGGGGATTCATGCTTGTAACCCCAGCACTGGGGTGGGGGAGCCAGGTGGACCTTCTGGGCTGACCAGCCAGCTTAGCCTAATCGCAAAGTGTCATTCCAAAGAGAGACCCTGTCTCAAGGAGGTGGACAGCTGTCCTAAGATGGTACTTGAGGTTATAGCCTGGCTTCTACACATGTACAAACATGTACCCTCCCTGCAAGTGTAATTCCCCACATACACCAGCACACGTGTACACACATATACATGAAAATATATAATACACACATGTGCATAGCAAAACCTCTATTTGTGTCCTTCGAGTGATATCTTTAAGAATGGAGGAATTGATTCCCGTAGGCTGTCATCTGACCGCCACACATGTGAGGCGACACTTGTCCACGTACGCTCCTCCCTCCACACAAAGTAAATAAAAATGTAATGTTTTTTAAACAATGTAAATTGTGTGCTAATACACTTGCTTTGAATAGGGCTGTGTGGGGGTGGAGAGGTTCTTACCACTACTGGCGCTGGCCACTCTCCCAGGTACTCTGAGTTCAACCCACAGGTGGCTCACAACCATCTGTAATTCCAGATCTAGGGAATCTGATGCCCTCTTCTGGCCACCGCCCGTTCCTGCGTGCACACAGTGCACATGAACTCATGCATGCACATAAATTATAAATATCAAAAGAAAACAAATAGGCCTGTATGACAAGGTCAGTTGGATGACCCTGGGCCAGACTTCTCCAAAATGTAATTTTCCCACAAAGAAAGACTAGGATCCTGGGAAGGACCCTGGTGGGGTAGGGGTGGAGGTGTAGGTCTTTGAAGCTGATGATGAACCTGTGTTGGGGTGGAACTTAGGCAAATTGGGTTTGCTGGGAGCAGGGGCCCAAGCAGTTCGGGGTAACCTGCTTCAAGCTCAGTTACTTGCTAGTCCAGGTGAGCTAGTCCCTCTGACCTGCTGTAGAGATGATTGCTCAGGTCTTGGATAGGCAGCTGTACAGAGGGCAGAGCGAGATGTTTTTTGTAGGTTTTTTATAGTTTGTCACTTTGAAGAGGTTTTGGCTTTTTCCAGGGCAACTGTGAGGCTGTCCAGTTATTGTCTTCCAGTCACAGAGGGCAACAGAGGCTTAGAAAGGTCCAGCCTTGATGGCTACTTCCCTGTCCGAGGCTCTGTAGTATGGGCACTGCCAAGGAACTGGCCAGAAATGCATGTCTCCAGATCTACCCACATCCTCTGAGCCCAAGTGGGTCTTTGACGTTATCCCAGGGCTCCCTGTGTACCCAGAAGGCCAAACTGCTTTCCTGTTGTTGCGGAGACAGAGATGAATTTTACATCTAATCATTGGGATCAATGGTTTCTGTTTTGTTTTTTTGTATGCTGGGATAGAATCCAGGGTCTCCCACATGCTAGGCATGTCACCCCTGAACCTCATCCTCAGCCCAGTCAATCAGTTCTAATTGACTTCCTTTACTCCATTATTTATACCGACTAATAAGTGCTGGCACTTGTTGGAACCTGCCAACAGGGACCCAGGTCCATTAGAACCTAACACTCAGGAGGTCACTTTGAAGCCCAGCTGTTTCCTCATCCCACCCCTGCTTTTGCTGGGATTAAAGGCATGTGTACCACTTCAGAGACCTTTGAAATAACAGCTGCTTGTGGTCCTGCTTTATGCCTGGCCCAGTGACAACACTTAACCACATTACTGTTTGTGCCCTCACATCCCCTGAGGGACATCTTGTCATGGTCTACCACATGCAAGAGAAGATGGAAGCCAAGAGGAGGAGGGGGGTTTGCTTGAGGGCCACTGGGAGTGATCCTGGCAGCAGGCTCCAGGGCCCTTTGGGTTCTGAAAGCCAGGGGTCCTACATGGAAAGCCAGAGGAATTACATGGAGCTGTGTTGAGGGCCAGGGGCAGAGCTTGGTTTTTTTCTCGCACCTGCCTCCTTTGTACATTGTAAACTTTGCACGGTGTCTGTGCTGGCTTCCTGGCTGGCTCTTGTCACAGAAAGATGCAGCCTTGGGAGGAACCTTGGGACTATTTTAGCTCTGGTGCTACCTAGCCTGAGGGCTCTGGGGATAGAGAATGAGTTAGCTTTTGGCTTCTCTTTTCTGTAAGATAGAAAGTAGTGCTTGGAACAGTATGAGGCCATCACCATGACTCTGGAACTGCAGACCACTGATGCTTGGCCCGAGAGCTCTGGGGATGGAGGATGAGCTCGCTCTTGACGTCTCTTTCATGGGAAATAGACAGTAGCATTTAGACAAATAAGGGACCATCACCCGGTCTCAGAAATAATCTTCATTATCAGTAAAACAGATTTAAAAATTTCATCCAAGGGCCCAACTTGAAACCCTCTTTACTCCCGCTCCCCCCTCCCCCCTCCCCCCTCACTGCACCAGCCACAAAAGTTCTGGGTAGCTGAGGTCCTTGGGAAGTGTACCATCTATTCCAAATACCCTGACAGAAACTGGGGATTCTGCCAACCACTGGTTCTCCCACATCTGGAGTTTGGGGTGGATTATGTTTCTGGCATTCTGGGAGGAGGGCAGCATCATCCTGGGCTTCATATGTTTGCAAACCACAGTTCTGTTGTTAACTGATAACTCCTGCTTTGAGGGCTCACAGACCATCCTCCCAAGGGGAGACCCTGGTGTCTCAGCTTCACGTGTCTCTGCTTTGGGTCACACCCTCATCCAGAGGCACGAGGGCGGGAGTTTCTACAGGATGCCACTCCTGGAAGGAGGGGGACGAGGGGACTGTCTGAGGGAACAGACGTCTAATCCCTCGACATTCACTGCGCCCCATTCTCCTGTTCCAGGGCTACCACAGATCTAACCACTTCATAGCCACTCAAGGTACTTGACCCCTCAGCCTGTGGCACCCTCTCATGATCTGGAATGTCTGCTGCCTGCCTGCCTGTCTTCCCTGCCTGCCTGTCTTCCCTGCTGACCTGCTCAGCTCCTTGTCTGCCTCCCCACCTGTCTTTCTTTCCACCCCAACTGCCTGCCTGGGTCTCTTGCATGTGATTGTAGCCTTTATCCTCTCTCTGTGCCTCCCAGTACGATCGATCCATCCCAGCAACCTGGCGTGTGTATCTCTGTGGCGCTGCATGTTCAAGGGCTGGTCAGGCCCATCCTCACTGATATGGAGCATACCTCTTGGTCCAACTGGGTCCCCTCTGGTCTCGTCTCTTTTCTGCTACTGCCCCTCTCTTCACCTCTCTTGGAGGTTTGCCCCAAGGACCAAGGCTCTACTGTCCGTACAGCTCTCTAAGCCTTGCTAAGCACAGCAGACTCTGTAGCCTGGCTCTGTCCTGCTATTGCCCATTCTAGGGCTCTGCAGGCATGAAGCTGTGCTTGGTGGGGTGTATTGGGGTGAGTGAGAAGCCCCTACTGGGGTCGGGTCCTAGGAGCCTCCCAGTAAGGGGTGATGTCACTGGGCATCATGGTATGCTGGCCATGGGGGAACCCTGCTCAGGGACAGGCACCCTCTGCGCCCCCAGGGCCGAAGCCTGAGATGGTCTACGATTTCTGGCGCATGGTGTGGCAGGAGCAGTGTGCGAGCATCGTCATGATCACCAAGCTGGTAGAGGTGGGCAGGGTAAGCGGGGCTGGGGGTCGGGCTGGGGGGCAGGGTGGGCCTCATTGTTGGCTAAGAGCCCAGTGAACCCTGTGCTCTGGGGGGGTCCCAGGTCAAGTGCTCTCGCTACTGGCCTGAGGACTCAGACATGTATGGGGACATCAAGATCACGCTGGTAAAGACTGAGACCCTGGCTGAGTATGTGGTGCGCACCTTTGCCCTGGAGCGGGTGAGTGTCCTCTGTACCTCTTCCATGTAGAGCCCACAGTGCCCCAGTCTGGGAAGCACAAGGGGAGGGAGTGGCAAGCAAGCCCTTCTTGCTGGGAGTATGGCTGAGGGATGGGACGGTGACAGTTCCTGCGGGTCTCCAGTGGGCCTCTGATACGATGAAGATCTGATGACCTCCCTGTGTTGTTCCTTGCTGTGTGGGACACTGTGCTGTGAGCCCCTTACACACATTGTCTTAGCTCTAGAAAGCTCTGGGCACATGTTTACCATCAGATCCATTGTACAGTTGAGAAAAATGAGGGTCAGAGGTCAGAGGGTTTCCTCTTGTATCAGGGTTCACGGTTCCACTTAATTACTCTGTAAAATCCTCAGATGAGGGCTGGCGAGATGTCTCAGTGGGTAAGTGAATTGACCATGTAAACATGTCGACTCTGGTTCACAGTGCTCTCTTCTGTTTATATGACAACCCAGGGACAAGGTGGGTGCTGGACAGCATAGCTTGAAGCATCTGGTGGACTCAGCCAAATTCAGAATGTGTGCGCCTGTTCAGCCTTGACAGAAGGGATGGTCTTCACTGGGCCTTCATTTTCTCACCTGTACAATGGACGTTGCTACCAGCCTTGCCAAAGCCTGGAATACAGCGGGTGTCTAGTGGGTGCCGCTGGTAGCTGACTGTCACCACTGTGCTTTCCACAGAGAGGTTACACTGCCCGGCATGAGGTCCGCCAGTTCCACTTCACAGCATGGCCAGAGCATGGTGTCCCCTACCATGCCACAGGGCTGCTGGCCTTCATCCGGCGTGTGAAAGCTTCCACTCCACCTGACGCTGGGCCCATTGTCATTCACTGCAGGTGGGGACACTGGAGATCCCAAGGAGAGGGGCCCAGGTGTGGGGAGCTGGGTGGGAGTGGGGTAGGTTCACAGTCCCTAAGGAGTTCTGGGCTTGGGCTACCCTGCTTGGAGACAGATGATAGGAGAGAATGTTTCCCCAAAGCTCCCATGAACATTGGCTCTGAGGTTGGTACCTGACAGAGCTCCTTGACCAAAGCTGAGGAACCCTGGAGCCTGCAAGCCCAGTCCATGTGGCTTATTCTGGCTCCTCTGCAAGGATTCTTCCAGCTCACCAAACACCACATGGCTGTCTTCTGCCCTGTGGTCAGTCTCTCTCTCTCTCTCTCTCTCTCTCTCTCTCTCTCTCTCTCTCTCTCTCTCTCTCTCTCTCTCTC